TTTTTTTTTGGAACCGTCCATACATACTTTTTATTGGAAGTAGTTAATAGTATCGGGATTTTAATCAAAGGTCACTTCATAGTTGTGGCTGTCTGCAGGGTGGAGTTCTAAGCTTGTATTGTTTAATGTTTTATCATCGATTTCATAATTTTTGACAAGACTATGTCTTGTTTATAAAATCGTACTGCCCGATGTTCTTACCAGCATAGAGGTATGAAAGAGTACATGTCGAGAATTGATATTTAGCACAGAGTATTAGGTGCCCAAATCATTTGCACATAAAAAAATCCAGACTCGTAGGTATTTGGGGGACCAAGAATTGAGTCAAAATAAAATAAAAAATGACGACCCTCTTCTACAAACAGGCAAAACAGCCACCTCACCTCACCGAAGTCAGGTAGGTGAGAGTACCGCCCACAGTCATTCTAAGAAGTTAACTCTGACCTTAGGACTGAACACGTAGTTTCTTCTATGTTAAATAAAATTTGTAATCTAATTTTGTAAATTTGGGAGTGCTTCAAATATGACGTTAAAACAGTTTTATGTCATTACAAGTTGGTTTTTTAACATTATCTAGTATAGTAAAATTGTAGGACTGATAAAAATTTGACATTATATTAGGATTGTCGTTACATTCGATGACATTATAATCAGGTTAAACTGTATATTGTTTGTGCAAAATAAAAAAATAATTTCGACGATACAATAGCCACGATTATTTTTTTTTCAAAAACGGGAACTTTTCGTTACGCATCGACAAAAATTCAACCCGGGCCGACACGCAACGGAGAGAAATTTTGATATTAGATAGGTTAATTTCATCTAACTTGTAAGATGCATTGTGGATGATCTCGTGGTTGTGGCTGGTGAAGTTTGAATGATCGTGCCCAAAAGCAGCTATATCACAGAAGATAGGAGAATGAGAATGAGACCTGCCTTGAGCATCAAAGTGATTCCATCTCTGAGACATAATCTTGTCCCAAATATGATTTTGCTGTTTTAGTTGTTAATTCTATCAGGCATATTAGGAAAGTCATGAGAGATCATTTTGCTTTTGATGCTTTTGCTGATGTCATTCCTGGTGTAGTTTTGCAAACCATTGTTGGTGAAGAACCAACTCCAGGCTTCCATGATGTGAACCGGGATAAGCCATGCGAGCACAAGTAAAGCATCAGTTGGTGTTGTACTGTATCCCTTTCCAATTTTCAGTGCTGTTCTTCTCTGTATGGATAGTAACTTTTTACGGATGTGTATACAGTAGACCCCCCCTATAAGACGGTAGATACGTTCCATTTTTTATGAAATTGATGTTTTAGGAGACCTTGCCAATCACAGCCTGACACGTGTGAAGTTTACGGACTACGGCTGTTTGAAAGGTTTTCTTCCATAAAATTAATCGATTCCTAGACTAATTTGACTCAACATTTCCAAAACACGTATATTTTTTTGGGAATAATCTGTATAAACTATGCTATAAACAAAAAATTGTAGGATTACTTACTGAGTGTGCACCGTTCGATATCGCCATTGCTTAAGCTTGTTTTTGTCGTGGAGCAGTGCACCGAACAGCGGGCGCAATTTCTGATAAGTTATTTTTCTGCAAAAACTTTGTTGAACTTCGGAGACATCATTAATATAAATAATTTTTATGGCCGTTGAATAAGAAATGTTTCTTTCACAAGAAATGTATAAAATTAGTGCTGTATTAGACTTACGGTACCTAATTTACATACTGTACAGATGATAGTAAACTCAACTTACTTGCCTAAACTCTCTGTAGCGTGTCGCTGGACGGCGGAAAGTAGTTCGGCTGTCCAATGACGTTTTACTGAATTATAGGAGTTTTTTTACCATGTTTGTACGGATACCATCACAATTTTTTCGCTGTCATATAGGAATCCAAACTATAGGAATCCGTGTTATAGGGGGGTTGACTGTATTACTAAGAGCATCATGCCATATTGGAGCGGCATAAAGAATCGCTGGTTCTATAGCCATCTTGTATATCATTTTACTGTTGTTGAAGTTTAAGCCCCAATTTTTACCAATGATCTAGTTGAGTAGATTTGCTTTTTGGTTCATTTTTCTACTTATTTCCTCGATGTGGTGTTGCCAGTTTAGATTCTGATCAAAATAAATACCTAGGTATTTAAGAACCTTCACTTGTTTTATCCTATTATTATCCATCCATAGTTTTAGTGTCTTTTGTAGTTGACCCCTTTTATTTTTCTGAGTACATATCATTGCTTCACTCTTGTTGTAATTGACAGGGAGCATGTGCCTTGCACTCCATTGATGGATTTTTTTTGTAATGTCTTGTTTACCTCCTCTGTCAGTCTGTCACAGTTTTTATTACCATAACAAGCAGATTGTCTGCAAATTGTAATTTGGAATATACTATTGTTTAGTCTATTTGTAAATAAATTTTTTTCTTATTTATTTACATTATATATTTAGGGTTCCTACCCATCTGAAAAGTCAGGAATTTTCATTAGTGTTTGGAAAAAGTCATGGAAAGTCAGAAAATTTGTTAAAAAGTCAGGGAATTTGCCTCTGCAACTGTCTTGTTGATGTTTTGTTTTGCTAACAATATGGTTGACTAAGTGGTTGACATCTGCAGGCAGCAAGAAGTAATATGGTGCAATGCAACTTATGGAAAGGGGTATAGAATATTTTCATGATCCAAAATTTCTTTCAAGCATACAAAAAAATTTTCCCAAAAGTTTACAAAGTACAAAAAATGATAATTTTAATTCAAATGGTATTATTTATCATTTTTCATTTTAATAATTTTGATTGCATAACAAACCAATTTCTGATTTTTTTTTCTAGTTTATTAATACAGTGGGTGATCAGATAACAAACACTTTCGCGAAAGATTTTTATGTTTGGACAACGAACACTCACAGAACAAACGCAAGAAGAAGCGAAGTAAAATAATGAATACCAATTGGTCTTCCCTTGTCTTCGGACAACAATTTGAAACATTTTGGAGTGTTGGAGACATCAACATCGAAGCTCAACCTGGTATATACTGATTGAATAGTATTCCTCCAAACTTTGAAACTCTCCCTTATAATTCCAGCCTTTTATTTTTCTAGTATTTGCGAGACTGTCGGGTGGGCACTTGTTAAGTTTAGCATCAGTTTTTATTTTCGAAAGTTGAGAGTATAATAGCAAAAGTAGAGTGGGCAGATATCTGATGTCTGTTGTTGCTGGGCAGTATGGCTTGAACAGGTCTACAGTAGGCCATAGTTAAATTTTATCTAAGAAAGATACTGTATTATCAAGAATATTCAAGCAGCTTAAGGAGTAACAAAAATCACATCTGAGAAATAAAGAACATTGAAGAGCTCATAATGGAACCTGAAACGGATCTGATGACAGAAGAACACCAAGAAACTCAGCAAGATATGTTTTCTTTTGAAAAAGAGAATTAATGTTGCTATCTTCTATTAAACATTTTTTTGAAGAAGTGGGATGATGTCAGAACGACTGTCTTAGAATGGCATTCAAACCAAGTTGAGGTTAATAGTCTTAATGATCTCTACAATTACAATGCTATTAATTACTTCTGAAAAATCTTGAAGAGAGAAAAGCAATCAGAATTAGACAGATTCTTTAACCCTCACAAATGGAAAAAACATGACTAATAAAAATGTAAGACTGTGTATATATGTATTTTTATTATTACATATAAATAAACATAGTAAGAAAGTATATATTTTTTATTTTTTGGGGTATCCAGAACAAATTAATGAAATTCCCATAAAAACGTATGGTAAATCGATAATCAGTTAACGAACAATTCGGATAGCGAACAAAGTCTTGGAATGGATTATGTTTGTTAACCGATCACACACTGTATTTTATAAAGTTCAGGAAATTTATTAAGGGATAAATTTAATAAATATATACTTTTGTACATGGATTATACAGTATTTATTAATGAATAATAAATAATGGATTTTTTTTCAAAACCAAGTAGATTTATGGTTATGGATTAATAACACAATAAACTACTTTAAAAATAAAATGTTTTATTAAATTAGTTTTAATAATTCAACAATAAAAATAATATATAACTGTTAATTAGAAAAAATAACTAATTAAAAGTTGGAGAAGCAGTAGTGTATATGCAGAGTAAGTCAATTGCTGTTTTATTTTGTCAATATGCCATACTGTAAGGAACATGAGGGTTGGAATTTGTACAAAGTTGGTCAGGGAATGTCATGGAATTTAAAACAAAAATTTGAATAGGAACTCTATATTATTAATCATTCAAATTTCATAATTAATAACTGATTTAATTATAGCCCAAAAATAATGTGGCTTGTAGATTCTTGACTATAACAAAGTATTAAGAGTACAAAATTTGTTGAACCTTATATACTAACAATTTATAAATATTTTGTGTTATTTTAAAATTATTGCACTTTGTAATTTACATGTATGTTAGAAGTTTGTTTTTGCAAGCAAACTTTTTTGTAAATTTCTCTGTAATTGTATTTAGAGGAATTTACAGAAAGAATATTTTTTTTCTAAAAATAAATTATTTCTTTAGTAAAGTAAGATATATTTAAAATATAACCAGATTTAAAAATCCAATATATTATTGTCAGTTTTAAATTACAAATTTATAATTTCAAACACAAATAATTTGATCTAGAAAAAATAAAAAAGTATATAGAAAATGTTTTTATATAATTTGAAAATTATTTAATTTATTATGAAGTTAAATCATTTAACTTTATTATTCAATTATTTATTTAAATACTGTTATTAATTTTTTTTATATAGAGAACAAAGTTATTTGAGTTATATGATTAGAGATTTTTAAGTTAGCTATACTTTTCAATAAGAATTATATTATGTAAAATATTTGTTTAATTTATAAGAAATATTTGTAAAATAAAAGTGTTTAGAATAGTAAAATTTAACAAATGTAATTATATTTTTTATTTTTATAAATATATTTTACATATATAATTTTTTTTTAGGTGCTGGTGAATCAGGGAAAAGTACTATTGCTAAACAAATGAAGTAAGTTTTATATACATATATATTTTTTTAATCATTTGTCAATAAACAGTATTATATTACAGACTATGTCTTGTTTATAAAATTGCCCTGCTGTCAACAGCTGCACACCTTTGAGGTATGAAGGATTACATGTCAGCAGTTGCAATTTGGCACAGAGTATTTGGTGCCCAAATCATTCGCACATAAAAAAAAACCAGACTTGTAGGTATTCAGGGAACTAAGAACAAAGTCAAAATAAAATACAAAATGGCAACACTCTTTCTACAAACAGGCAAGAATGCGAGATTTGCACATGCATTGTTCATTGGGAAGTTTGAAATGCGAACATTGCGAAATCAAATTTTGACAAATGAATCTTTGAAAAAACCCATTTACCTCTCTAGTCATGACCTGCTGACCTTGACCAGTTGACCTGAGATATCTCGTTTCAGCAGTGGAATGTTTTTGAAACTAGATGGTGCAAGTTGTTATAATTTTATATTAAAACTAACTTCCAAAGTATTTTTTTTTTTTACATTTATTATTTATGTTGTTTGTGCAGAATAGAAAAATAATTTCGGATGATACACTAGCCACAATTATTTTTTTCAAAAACGGAAAATTTTCGTTAAGCATTGACAAAAATTCAACGTGGGGTGACATGCAATGGAGAGAAATTTTGTTATTGGATAGGTTAATTTCACCAAAAATGCATTGTGGACGACACCTTGGCCGAGGCTGGCAAAGTTTGAATGATTGTGCTCAAAACCAGCAATACCAAAGAAGATTGGAGAATGAGAACAAGACCCACCATGAACGTCAAAGTGATCCCACTTAGTAGTGAGTCTCCAAGACAGTCTTGTCCCAAAAAATGGCCTTGCTGTTTCACTTATTATTAATCATTTTGAACATATTATGTTTTCTAATTATAAATAAAAATTTTTACAAATGATATTATTTAATTTTCTGTATAAAATGCATTTAAGTAAAAATTCGACCAAATAGGCCAAAAAGCATGTATGTGGTGTACATTGGATATATATAAAGAATTAATATAAATTGTTAATCCAGCACTACTTGCAGCCAGATTTGTAACACTGTTACTCAATGGTGAACATACACAGCTCACCCTATGTATTTTTGTATTCTTAATGTTTTGTCTTGATAAATTTTACTTAGATCAGGAAGTTTTTTTATGAATAATACACATTTTAATGTTTCCCTTACTTTACTTCAGTTAGAATACATTAAAAATAACGTTGATATAGAAACAGAAAATTGATATGTGATCAGATTGATGAGATTGATAAAAATAGAAATACGATACTTGAAATTATTGTTAAACTTAATTATAATTTTTATCCAAGTTCTGAATCTGTTTAGTCTAAATTTTTTTAAATGGCATTGTTTGCGGATTGTTATTATCTGGTATTTGCAGATCAGTGCAGTAGCCTACATGTTACATTTGTACAAAATTTTACTGTTCTTTTTTTTGGGGGGCAATATGCACACTTTTCTTGATACTGATGTTGCCTGTGGAAAATATGCTTGTTTCTCAACATTTCTAGGATTTTCATACAGAGATCCTCAATCTCATTGTTTGCAAGGAGGAAGCCTATCTTCCTCATACTCCTCATCAAGCCATTTCAGAAACATTTCATCAAGTTTTATGATAGTATGTATATACAATATAATTTCACAATTAGAATCGTACCACTTTGAATGCAAGAAAACAGACACAATATTACTGATGGGTGAGAACCATGCTAACTTGTCTGACATGAATGAAACAAAGGTGGCATTGAAAGTATTAGCGATGACTATTATTTGTAATTTTGTTATCTTGTTGAGGTTGATTTGCACATTGGATACTCAGGAAAAAAGGTAGACAAGTTTGGCCACAAAACTTTCAAGAACCACAGTGCTTACCCTCGAATAACAAGGAATTAAAAAAATTACTAAAAAAACAACAAAAAAGAACACTAAAAACTATCATCATTAATCATTCATTGTAGAGTATACTCCATTTAAAAATTTTTCTAGTGTTTTAAAATCCTACATATAAAAATTGCACTGCTTTTCACTCAAAAGAAATATAATAAACGTTAAACCTTTTTTATAAGTTCTCATAAAAACATGTTCAACATTTATACAACTAATTCATGAATCCCTTTTACAGGAATTTTAATATTTTTGTAATTTTACAATAATAAAATAGTTTGTAAAAATTCTTTTTAAACAATTAAAAAATATTCTAATTAAAATTTAAAATTATGTTAAATGTTAAAATTAACATTTATACAGTGGGTGATCGGTTAACGAACAGATCGGATAACGAACAAATCAGATAACGAACACTTTCGCGATGGATTTTTATGTTCGGACAACGAACACATGATCGGATAACGAACACCCCACAGAACAAACACAAGAAGAAGCAACGTAAAATAATGAATACCCATTGGTCTTCCCTTGTCTTCGGGCAACAATTCGAAACTTTTCAGAGAATGGGAGACGTCGACATTGACGCTCAAGCCGGTATATACCGATCGGATAGTATTCCTCCGAACTTTGAAATTCTCCCTTGTAATTCCAGCCTTTTATTTTTCTGACAAAACAATTCTTTTATGTATTCGCGAGACTGTCGGGTAGGCATTGGATGTTATGTTTATATTTAAACT